CCTCCCCACGCCGTGCAGCTTTCCCTGGTGCGCGTGCACACACACACACACACACACACACACACACTCTCACAATCAATCAATCAATCAATCAATCAATCAAACCTTTTTATTCCAAGTTTTTTTATGATTTATTTTCAAATTTTGCATCTTTATTTTTCTAAAACACCTCATACCCCTGCAAAAAACAGAAATTCATTTCTAAAAAATACAGGTGAACTCAGGGACCATATATCTGATGATAAAAAATGACAAAAAAAAAATCCAGCTTTTCTTTATATATATATATTTTTTCTTTTAATCGAATTTACTTTTTGATTTTTAAAAAATCCTAAACAAACTCGGATTCGAAAGAAAAAAAAAATGGTGTTGTAGGGCTTAAAATTCCCTACAACCCCAGATATGTTTTTTTTTTGGCCTATTATTTAATTCAGGAAAAATCTGGTAAAATCGGGTCCGCGGCGTGGATCCGGTAGGCCGAGGAGGCGGCCATGAATACGTCCACCCTCCGCGCTCGGCCCCGCGGACGCGTCCGCGGGTGTTTCATAGACAGGCAGGAGAGGGAGGGGATGAACAGATGGAGGAGGGAGAGGACTCCCGAGAGGACGTAGTTGAAGAGTGGGGGGAGGGAAAAAGGAGGAACCAGGGAGAGAACAACAGAAACTTGTGGACGAAACAATGCACAAAGAGAAGCAACAAACAGAAGCAACAAACAGAAGGGAGGGGGGACGGGGAGGGGATGGAAGTGGACGGCCAAGGACAAATGGAGAGAGAGAGCGAGGAACTGCGGCAAAACAACAGGAGGGAGGAGGGGGAGGGGATGGAGGAGGAAGGACAAGGGCAAGGAGAAAAAGCGAGCGAGGAACAGCGACAAAACAAAGGAGAGGGGGAGGGGGAGGCGGAGAAAGGAGGAGGGTTGCGAAGTAGGGAGGAGGGTGAACGGGAGACACGTGTGAACGAAAGAAAGGATGATGGAGAGGGGATACAGGAAAGGAGACAAGAGGGGTTGGTTGCGTGGGTAGACCAAGTAGGAGTAGACTCGGCGAAAGTGCATAGTGTCTGGACAAGGGACGTGGAGGACACATGGAGGGAGCTATGGCAAGTGACACACTCCGCCAATGGTTGGGAAAGCTGCATGACACCCCGGGGGGCAGGGAAACCTGCATGGTGCCGCCCAGGGGTAGGATCGGAGGAGAGAAGGACTGGGGGACCGCAAGGACAGGAAGAAGAACGAGGGTTGCAGGAGGTGAAAAGGGGGAGTGGGAGATCACAAGGACAAGAAAGAGAGGGGATGCAGGAGGAAGGACCAGAGGCGGTGGTAGTAGGGGCGGGAGAGGCGATGTTACAAAAGGAAGAAATGGGGGAGAGGGTGCAGGTAGACAGGAGGAGGGTTGATCCGCAATCGGGTGCGGAAGAGATTGGGAACTTGCAGAGAGACAAAGTGGACAAAGGCAGAGCAAGGCGGAAGGGGGTGAAAAGACCTAGACCACGAAGGAAGACAAGACGTACAGAGAGTCAGGCGAAAAGGGACAGAAGAGGGAAATAGGTTCAATATCCTTCATCAGATTGTAGCCCCTCCCCGAAGAAGCAGAGATACAAAGGGTACCGGGGGCTTCTGGAAACTCCATCGCTAGCTGAATTGCGGGAACTGTTTGGAGACAATGGGCCATTGTTAGCCAACCCAACTCAAGGGTCTTCGGCATCGTCAACTGACCAAGGGGAGGCGACGGGGCAGAAACAAGGAGGGGAGGTGGGACGGGAGAGTGAAGAGGTGCCAAAGGCTTATGGCACAAGCGAACAACAGCAAGGGATGAGAATTTGAGGCGAGGGACAATCTCTGACACCGATAACGTTGAGGGAGGGGCAACCGGGGTTGCCCGGGGAAAGAGCTGAGAAGCAAGGAGAGGGGGGTGGGGGAGATATGGAGACACAAAGAACTCCGACTGAGTGCTCACAAGAGTTGGAAACTCCTTGCTATGAGGGGAGGCAGCAAACGACTCTCCCGGAAGGGAGAGTTAGGCTAGCCTTCCCGAACCCGGCTCGTCGAGCGGAAGAGGAAGACAGAAGGGAGGAGGCGGAGGAAAGAACAGAGGGGGGAAATAAGGACAGGAGAGACGAAGATAGGTGCCACATGCGCACACGAATGGCGATTCTAGAGGAGGGTTTTCACACTATGCGTCAACAAGGCCGGCTGAGGGTGGTGCCGCTAGTCTTTATGAGGAACTTGGCTGGATTGCAGATATTGGTCACCACGCAGGAATCTGATGAGGACGAGGTTCGCTTTGCCATGACTAACCTGGAAGATCATCCATCACAGCAAAGAGTTGTGGCAACGGCCAAGAGTTGGGTGGGGGAGAACTATGAGGTCAAACCGATCGCGAGAATATCCGCGATCAGGCTGATAGAAAAAGTGGAGGACAGAAGACCGATGGGATTGACCATCTTCCTGTTGCGGGCTGATCTTTACATGGATGCCCAACTGCCCTCGCTGGGGCCGCAGTTGCTGTGGAGCGAATTTGGCCAACTGCTAACGTTGGCCATGCAAGCAGCATCGGGATTCGCCACAACGACTACAGTGGACACCCACATACTGTGAGGAATAAACCAGTGCCTTCCAGAAGGCAAGAAGTTTACCAATCACAGATTCTGGATTGAGGGCTATGACTGGCCGGTGGCGCGATCGACGAACCGCCGAAGGAGACAAGCATCGTCGCCGGAACAGAGACAGTCAGGTTCACGACGGTCGACCTCGATAACCGGCATACGGTAACAAGACTGCCGCAGCACAGACCGGCCTCAAGACCAACTGCTTCCGTTCAGAGACAAGCGGCAGCAGGCACGGGACAACATGGGAGCTCCTCGGTAAGTCAGCACAGGTATCCTACAACAGCTTCAAGGAGATCGAGGGTTACGGTTAACACGGCATCCCCGAACACCCCCAGGTGAACTTGAAAGGGGAGGGGGACAGGGGGAGGGAAGAAAGGCAGGTAAGACAAGGGTGGGGGGGGCCAGGGATGGAAGAATGAAAACCGCCAAAAGGGATGGATAGGGAGATAGAGGGTGGGAATAGATGAGGAAGGTGATTAGAATAGGAATAGTGAATGTGAGAGGGTTGGGCAAACGATCCATTAAGTGGAAGTCCAAGGAACTGCGGAAACTAGTGGACAGGGAGAGGCTACACGTCTTGTGCCTGCAGGAGACCAGACTGAAGGAGGAGAGAATCTCGCGGGATGGAAGAAGGGAGTTTGGGGATGGCTTCCAGATCTGGGTTCCAGCAATGGGAACAATGGGAGGGGTGGCGATCATAATGACTGGGCATTTCCAGGGGGAGGTGTTACATTTCTTTGCAGATACACAGGGGAGGTGGGCGTGGATATGGATGGAAATGGATGGACATAAGTACCTGGTGACAACGGTTTATGGACCATCGGGTACGACAGATAGGAAGTGGTTTTGGAGGGAGATGCGTACACATGTTCCGGAAACTACCAATACAATGCTGATGGGGGACTTTAACACGGTAATCTGGTGAGGATTGGATTCCACACACGGGGGACAGATTCGACTAGATGCGGAGGCTTTAAAGGAAATGATGGCGGAACTGGAAATGGAGAATGCCTTTAGGAAGACTTGGCCGGGGGAGAAAGGATACACATGTACAGGGACGGGGACGGGGAGAAGGAGCAGATTGGACATGGCATGGTTGCAAGAGGATGTGATGCACAGATTGGTGAGAGTGACAACCAGGCCGATGGCGCTCTTAGACCATAAATTGCTGATGATAGAAGTGTTGTCCCCAGCTCTGGTGGAAACAAAGGCCCCGCCGCCAACGGTTCCCCATTGGATGTTTCGGGACTTGCTTTATCTCAGATTGATAAGGCAGCATTGGGAATACTGGGAGAAATTGAGAACTCCGGGGACATCGGCAGCCACACACTTTCAAATGGGACTGCAGGGACTGGCCGCCCTCTTGCTAGCAAGAGCAAAAGCCACAAGGCAAGCACACATGAGGACAGGACAAAAGTATGGCGAAAGATTGGAAGAGCTGGGATCAGATCCCCCAGAGGGAGAGGAGGAGGAATGGTGGATACAATGGGCGACACTCAAAGCACAGTGGGAGGAGTGGCAAGAGGAAGATGCACGAAAATGGGGAGTGGTGTCTAAAACGAAGTGGGTGAGATTGAGAGAGAGGATGTCAGCCGCTTTCTTTGGGCAAATGCAGACAAGAGGACGAGCCATGGTAATTACCGTACTGCAGCATCCGTTTCAGACGGATGAGCTAGTCGTGGAGACCACACAGGAGATATTGCGGTATGCGAAGACCTTTTATTCGGACCTCTACACGGAATCGGAGAGATGGGGGGAGGAGGAAATCAGGGAGGCAGCAAGAACTGGGGTCTGGAAAAAGGCAACGACTAAACTGCGGGAAGAACAGAGTCGGGAACTGAAGGAAGCTATAACAAGTCAAGAGATAACTAAAGCACTTGCAGACATGCCAAAAAGGAAGGCCGCGGGCCTGGATGGCCTGCCGATGGATCATCTTCAGGCTGCAGAAGAAGTGTTTATGCCATTGCTTCAAGAACTGTGTAATGCATTCTTTGTTGAAGGACAAAGTCGTCGAGAGGGTTTTGGGGAGGCAACTATCATCCTGTTGCACAAGAAGGGAGATTTAACGGACATCAGGAACTGGAGGCCAGGATCATTGCTGTCAGCGGCATATAAACTATATGCAAAAATCCTGGCAAATCGAATGACGAAGCCCCTTCCGTCACTCATCCATCCAACCCAGACGGGGTTTGTGCCAGGAAGAGAGATCCTAACCAATGCCATCATGGCAAGGGAGGTCCTGCACAGAGCTGCAGACACAGTGCCACCAGTAGCGGTTCTACTCTTGGATTTTGAAAAAGCATACGACAGGGTTAGATGGCGATTCTTGTTACAAGGGTTGGAGGAAAGAGGGTTTGGAGATAGGTTTGGAAGAACAGTGGGGTGCTTGTTGGCAACCGCTACGGTGAGAGTACAAATAAACGGTTTTCGCTCAGGATTGCTGAGTGTCACGCGATCAGTCCGGCAGGGGTGTCCTCTATCACCGACACTATATGTTTTATATATTGAGCATCTGCATGACATGATCCGAGCGGACCACGGGATCCGGGGAGTACATCTGCCGCAAGGTCAAGACCTGAAGTCAAACAGCTTCGCGAATGACGCAGCGGCATTCGTGGAATGTTCTCAGAATTGTATACAGGCGCTGCGAACACAAGTGCAAACCTTTTAACACTTTGCCAGGGTGAAGGTGAACTGGGCAAAATCTGTGGTGTTGTTACCGGAGGGTGGAGAGGCGGAGTGTTTTTCCAGAGATGTCCATCCTACCACAAGAACAAAACACAGGGTACCTTGGCATCATGATACTGGCGGCGGTACCGACGGGCCAACAGATGGAGGAGCTGTTGTCGGTGGCCTTGACAAAGATGCATAGGTGGACGGGCCGGGCGGAGGTGGGCGTGGTGGGGAGAGTGTTAGTAGCGAACAATGCGGTGTCATCCACCTTGTGGTACGTGGCACCGTTGCCAGACCCAGGGAAGAGAGCATAGCGAAGGTACAAAACGACGCTCCGGAGATACCTTTGGAAGGGTGACCCCTACACGCCACATCTGATATTAGGGTGAGGTGGGAGAAATTGATACAGCCACGAAGGATGGGGGGGATGGGCTTGCTGGATCCACACAAACAAGCAGCTGCGCTGAAAATGAGAACTGTACTTTGGCTCCTGCTGGAAAGGGATGATGCCCCCTGGAAGATTCTCATATTGCACAGTATGGCACAGACTCTGCGGGTGGATCTTGCGGACGTGGAGACGGCGCTGCTGCACCCGCAGTTGCAACAGGGACTCACCCGAGATGAACTCTGGTCACCGACTCTGGAGAAATGGAGGAAAGCCCCCTTGAGACAGAAGGTACCCCAGTCGATTGACCAGATACTTGGACAATCACTTTTTGGGAATCGGCATATAGGAGAGAAGGGCCACCCATTTCCCTGGCAAGGGAAACAAGGAGTCTTTGGACGGCAGTGGCTGAAGTGTGGGGTGCACAGGGTGGGAGATTTATGGGATAGGGAGAAGGGAAGTTGGAAAGAGGAGGAAGTGCTTGACCAACTCCTCAGACACCAACCGGATAAGAGGATTAGACTGGCTAGACTGAGACAGGCGATCCCGAAGGAATGGGTGGGGAGAATGGAGAGGGATGAGAGGATTCGGGGGGAGTGGGTGGCGCTGAGAACGTAAGAACCACAAAACACCTTCAATCACGAAAGGGAAGATTGGTTCGGAGGAGAAGGATGGGAAGTGAAACACACGGAAGGAGCCCTGGGGGAGAGGATGCAAAGGGTGCCAGAAAGAGATGGGTTGATACACAAAAGTAATATGAGGGCGGTGGTAGTGCTAAGAGACAGAGCTGTTACAGATGGGGGGGGATATAGACCCTTCAAAATCAGACAGCAACTGCTGCAGTTAACATGGGACCCATCAATGTGGGAATGGGCAGCCACGAATTCACAGTGGCAAGGGACATCGCTGCATCAGATCTCCACCAAAGATATCTACAGAACTCACAACGTGCCAACAGATATGGTCGAAGAAATGCGGGGAAGGTGGAAGAAAAGGGGATGGCTACAACAAAATGAGTTGGAAGGCTGGACACAGACTGTCTTGGAGGAGACATGTTCGCTACTGAACATGCTACCGGATCAGAAACAGGCAAGTGGGTGGGTGGAGAAGAGACGGAGAATATACCACATCTATGGTTGGACTGCACCTGTCAGGTTGAATTTTGGGAATGGTGGAAATCACTAGGGGAGAAGGTGCCAATGGCCCAGGAACGCCCAAAATTTAGGGGAGCGGTTATGGTGGGGCAATTGTTGGTAGGTGGAGAGTCTTCACTGGTGTGGGCTTACGCAGGGGAGGTGATACGTGCGGTATTTTGGGCAGCAGTATGGGCCATCAGAGGAAGACTGCTGGCACAAGAAAAGAAGGGATCTGCCGCTACCCTGCGGAATTGGTTCCTGATGAACCTGAGGACGACCATAATGGCGGATATCCAGAAAAGGAAAGGGGGGGGGTGGTGTTTCCTAAAAGACGCCTGGGCAAGCTTTGAGAATGTGGTGTTGATTGGGGAAAATCCGGATCAATGGGAATGGGGGCAAATAATGGGATCTCGGTCCAAAAGTGGGGAGACACAGTCAGAAACAGAACAAGCAAATCCGGAGCCGGATGGGGAGGAGTCAGGTACACAGGAGGAGGGACAGAGACAGGGGAGCATGGAGACTTAGGAAACAGGGCGGTCGGGAACACGGGGAATGAGGGAAAGCAGAACGGAGGAAGACTCAGAAGGGATATATGGAAGTGGACTGAGGGAGGACGACTCCTCGTTGTAAAACAAGGAAGTAAGCATGGTTGCTAAGATAGGGAGGGACTGAGAATGTACAGAGGATGGGAAGGAAAGATAGATGTAGAAAAATGAGACTTAGGAAATAGAGGGGTCGGAGACACAGAGAGGGCGGGTAGAATGGGAATGTATAGAGGATGGGGAGACTGGGCATGTATAGAGGATGGGGAGGTAAGATAGATGCAGAAAAATGGGATGGAGGAAGTGAAGGGAGTAGAGACATAGGGAATGTAGGTAAACGGGATGAACAGATGCAAGATGTTGAAGCGGGAAGGAATGTCAGGGTAAGCCAGGATAGGAAATGTACAGAGGGCGGGATGGTAAGGTTGAGGACAGGAAACTGGGATCTACACTTAGGAAGGTAAAATTTGGTGAACGCAATGGGAGGCGGATGAGAGTGTACAGGTGACGAAGGGAGGGAAGTTAGATGTAAATAGAGGAGGAGCTTGCAAACAAGGAATGGGGAGAAAAGATATGTGATAAAGGGAGAGGGGGAAGGGAGAGAGGGAGGGTAGGCCTTATGAACAGGCCAGAGAAAGGGAGGAGGGCAAGGGAACACAGGGAGGATAGAACATAGGACAGTGAATGAGGGATGAGAAATACAGAGGAAAGTATGGGGCAATGGATAAAATTGTGGGAGAATTTAAAAGCCAAAAACAACTATAATGCCAAAAAGGCCGATGTGTTGGGTTCAGTTAGAGGGGAAACATGTACAGTGCCAAAAAGGTTGAGGGGGTTGGATCGCTTAGGGAGAAGGGGGAGAAAAGGGGAAGGGAAAGGGAAAGGGGAGTAGAATACGATAGAGATGTAAAAAGGGAAAGATGGGAGAAGGAGGCAGGTTCTGTGCGTTTGGAGGGAGCGAGGGGAGAGGAGCCACTCTAGCGGGCCATTGACCTCCTGAGGGAGGAAGTTGCGACTGGGTGCGGTTCGCCTCCCGGCAACTTCCCTCCTTAGGGGGATGAAGTCCCGAGTTCAGTGATTTTCTTTAACCGCCGCATGCGACTCAAGGTGCTGGCCGGGGTCGATACCTCAAAAAAACCTCAAATGTTGTCTAGTCTGTCTGTTCTTTTTCACAGCCTATACTTGCTTGCCGGTGATAAGTAACCGGACTGTTGCCCCCAAGAATAGAAGGGGTATGTGCAGTGCCGTACCCCCGTTCACCGTTCACGGGGTCTGTGAACGGAGCCGGTCATAGAGTTCACGGAGTTCACGACACGGAAGTTCATGGAGTTCACGGAGAGCGGTATTTTTTTATTTTTATTTTTTTGGCTAGGGGGGTTATGTTTTTTTTTTATAGGAGGGTGGGGGACATCAAAGGGTAACTCCCTATAATTGTTTCAAAAATAAATTTTCACAAATAATATTTTTTTTAAATTAAAAACGAAAAAATAAAAATCCACCAGCCAAAATAAGAATTTTCTTTTGCTATTTTGTAGGTCATTTCGATTTTTTTTTTTTTTTTTCAACGTCACCACGCTGTGGGGCTTGAGGTGAATGTACCTGGGGGAGCCCCAAAAAAAACAAAAAAAAACACCACTCTTTAGTGGTCGGCCCGTTCACAAAAAAAACACCAAATGAACGGTCGGTCACGTTCACGGGTCCGGCACTAGGTATGTGTGTGTGTGAGTTAAAAAAAAAAAAAAAAAACTGCGAATGTGGCCAATATGCTCTTCCGATAACCTGAATGGGCAAGGACTGAGGGCTGGCCTGTCTGGTCAAGGCATTCGACCGCTACAACACCCTGGGTTGGGCCCCCCTTGTGAGTGTAGCCCCGCTAGTGGGGCAGCTCACGTTGGGTACCCTTAAAAAAAAAAA